TTGATGAGTCTGCTAATGTCAAGTACTTCTTGAAAATTCATACCTATGTATATGTACATACAGATACAAATAAATTTTTTCTTTGAATATTCTGTATTTCTTTGAATATTTATCAGTATCTGTACTAATCAGTTGCTTTGGGGTGCCAGCAAAGAAACTGACAATTTTAGACAATGTACTAATGTCATCTACATGGACATAGTGGTGGTCAAGGGAAAATGATCAATTTCTTTCACTGAGCAAAAGAATTACTAAGACATATGCTTAGACAATGTTTTAAGCAATTAGTAACCAACATATTCACATTTGTTATATGATCCAGTAAAATAGACAATTACCATAATTTGAAAAGAAACTTACGAAAGGTATTCTTCACACTAAAAATTCAAGATGAAGTCATTAATTACTGAATCTACATTATGAGGAGATTGAATATTTTCTGTTATGGTGCAATGATTCAAGAGGTTTATAATAAATATATTTCATAGAGATATTATTATTCATAATCGAAACATTTCATATCCAACCACACTTGTGATATTTTTACCTTCAGCCATAATACCATAAAACATTTTTATGAAACTGAGAGCCAGAGTTAGAAGACATTTACTTTCAATCATTTTAACTCTCTTTAAAAATAACTACTTTTTCTGATTATAAATATAAAACCTTTTTTTGCAAAACATTTAAAATACAGAGAAGTACAAAGGTATAAAAAAGAATTAAGCATAAGCACAACAACTGGAGATAATTAACATAACATTGTATAGTCAGACGTTTAATTTTATATACTCACTTCATAGCATGCACACTATATCATTAATATAGGGTTTTTTTGGTACTGGGAATCGAACTCGGGACCTTGCGCTTGCAAGGCATGCAGCAGAACCACTGAGTTAAATATAGTTAATATAGTTTTTAATAAATATATAATATTTCATCCCCAGAGAAGCCATATTTTATTTACTTTTATATTAGTTTGCTTGAAATGTTCACAAAAATGTTCATTATATGTATGTATGTATGTATATACTTGCTCATATTATCGTGCTCACTTCAGCACCACATATACTTGGTCATTTTATCAATTATTTTATTTAAAGTGGATTTATAGAAGAAGAGAGACTCTTCCTTTTTTCATAAGAAAGTGTAAATCCATACAAGTTATGGGAATAAGAGTTCCATAACCAAGATTATGTAATTTTCTGTTCCATTATATCAACTATGTTTGCAAGAGAATATACTATTTTCTTCTTATGATGTCATCCTTAATAAGTTAGAAGTTTGGGTCTTTGACTATAAGCTACCTAAGATCTATCTCTCTTCCTGTCATAATGTGTTACATTGCTATAAGTTAGTATTACTATCTACTAATAATCCATTGTTTACCTTTCACTCATAAAATTATTCAACTACCTCTCAAGCCCACATATATTTGCAAGAAAATCCAAAAAAGCAAATAAACATATAAAGAAATAAATAGGAAATAATAAAACAAACCTGTAAACAAAGAGTAAGGTATTCTTCTTCTTAATCTTCTTTAGTAGATTACAATTAAAGTCTACTTGAACATAGAAAAATCCAGTTGTATTATGATCAACAATAGGCAGCAATTTAAAGCAACCTAGACAGATTCTGTGATGAAGCATAATTATTGTTCAGAGTTAAAACATGCTAAAAGCAGTTTGAGATATTTTTGAAGTTACTTGGGAGAGAAAAGAAGTTTAAATTTTTAAATTATTTTTTATGGACACAATAAGCATTCTAGACCATCCTGACTACCTTTGAGTTGGTTGTTAATGTCAAAGAAAGTGCATTACCTACTTGCAAAGGGACAAATGTATCAATCAACTACCTGGAAAGCCTTGAACTCACCAAGTTTCCACGTAGAATCTCTACCTATGCTAACTGATAAAAATTTCCACAGAGAATCTTACAGAAATATCATCATTTTCAAAATTATGTTTTAAAAAGTATTACTTTTTGTTTTTATCAGAAAAATATTAAAATAACAAATTATTTAGATACCTATTCATTAATAAATAATGGATTAAGAAATCTCCATATTCAAGTATCACAGTTTAGCTTTACATAAGAATTGTGGGGATTTTAGTTCTTAATTTTTTTCTCTATCCTCTTAAAACTGGAAACATCACTATAAATAAGTTTTCCTAGTCATATTTGCTATTGGAACATAAAACATGAGAGTCCATTCTAAAATAAAAATATGTATATCAAAATTAATGAAATACAGATAGGCTAATACATGATATGAGAAATGTTTCTCTTCATACCAGAAAAGGTATATCACTTAACTTTGACATATAAAAATAATATTAGTTACTGAATGGAAATTGATAGCTTGGTCTAGCTCATGAATTAAATGCCAGTCTGTATAAATATTTTTTCCATTAAAAAGAAAAAGAAGAATCAATACATTTCCAAGTAATTTTGTGCCTCTGATTCAAATTACTGATTCAAGTTACAACAAACACATTTCAATTTAAAACATGATCTAAGCCAAATGGCATTAAGCACTACCAACAATATATCAGTGCTTTGCATGCTATAGTTTCCTTTTGTAACAGATCCAATAAGCTTGTCCTTCCCATGCTATTCTTATCTTTTTTCTTTTTGTAAAGATATCAGTGGTGGGATTTTTCCACATCTGATACACTCTCATGGTTATATTCATAATTCAGTGATTCAAAACAGCACTATTAAGTGCACAGCAAGAATGGGGGCCTTGTAAGAGCCTGACAATAGACAGGATACTGAGGATCATTCAAGTCCCATCTACTCCATACTTTTCTTTCCCAAAGAAGAAAGTGTACAGATTACAACTGACTGAGAAAAACATTAATTCCATAAATAACATCACACCCATTTAACTGAATAATACAATGCAAATCAATCTCAAATTTTAGGAATTTATTCTTAGGAACTAATTATATACCACATGCCTCAAAACGAATAGCAAAATAACATTTTCAACACTTCATTTCACAATCACTGTCCTAACCAATCAAACACAACTAAAGTTAACCAACACTTTAATATGGACTTCACCAACAAGCCGATGAATCAGTATATTTAATCATTTATACAAGAGAAATAAAATTGCTTTTAGGTAATTTATTTTCACTTTCAGGTTTCTACTATATTTCCTCATAACAGACACATCTGCTACATTGCGACATAAAACAATTGCAATATTTTCAGTCTTTGTCTCATCTTTGGTATATCTCACAAAGATTATATTTCTGCATAATTATAATTCATAGGCAATTAAAGGCCTTAGAAATTTTTAAAATTATATTTATAACTAGAAAAAAGGACTAGAAGTAATCTCCTAATATTTTCCCCCACTTATCCATACACTTTTAAACCTGGCTCTATTATTATATGTTCATCCAAAGTTGAAGGAAAATAGCTCCTTCTTTTTGACAACATCACTGGCCTTTCATGCATGATATATAAGAGAAATCATTTAATTCTAATAAGATTTCACATTTAATTTTAGGCAAATCCATGAAGATAAACTTTTATTCACACATTTAAAGGTGTTCAATATTATAATGTGCATACATAACAAAATAGATATGTACAGCTTTCAGAAAATCAAATGGGTAAGGCCAAGCTTAAATAGACCAGGTAATTAGAGCTCAGGTATAGTTTCCATTAACTAAAAAATTCTTTACTTTACATAATGAGTTTCTGCAGGAATCAATAAGCAGAAAAGTTTTGTATGCATTAAAAATGAAAAATGCCCATGTGTCAGGTTATTCACATATTTTATGGACTATATGCATGAAATAAAGTATATCTGTATTCCTGCTATAAATTAAAATGCTAAAAATATCACTTATTAAGGGTGGCAGACCTGCAAAAAAGCACCACCCCAAAAGATGCCTCTCTGCCGTAAGGATTACTTCAAGTTTAAGGCACTTGAAAATCACCAGCTGCAAGAGCATACTAATTTCCCCTTTTCTTCCTGAAAATGGGAGGTAAAAATCTCTCATGTGATAGTTTCCCTTCCTCTAGTAGAAGACAAGAAACATTCTTTGATGGGGAGTCATAGCTGAGAGAATTCAGTAAAACAGACTTGTTAAAATAATTCTTATCTTCCTTCAGCCTCTCACGTAATTTGCTTTTCCACAATTACCTCTCTTTGTTCAACCTAACACAAAACTAGGAAGGTTTTCACATCTTTAGGTCTTCATTTCTTTATCAGAACTCTTGTTCCATGTAAAACTTGTATTAAATTTATATACTTTTCCCCCTTTAATCTGTTTTAATCAATTTAATTATCAGCTCAAAGTGGCACCCAAGGAAGGTAGAAGTAAAGTTTGCCTCTTCTGACACTTAGCAATATGATCACTATGACTCTTGCATTTTTAACTAATGATTTAGAAAATTGATGCCTATGTCTTTACACATTGTATCTACTAACCATTAACTGAAAACATAAGCTACAAAGCATTCCTATGGGGGAAATAAAGATCTTCCAAGTGGGACCAGTCAGCCAGCTGGAAGCAGCTTTTCGTACAATCATACTTGGTATCAACTGCTTTGAAACTCGTCTAATTCAGTACTCGACACAAACCATTCTGTGCTGATACTTCTGTTTGGTGCTCCACACACAAGTGAGAACGTATTAGTATCCCTTGTCTCCTGACTCGCTGTCCTTTCCAGCCAGGACAGTTTGTTTGGTACTTGTAGTTTTGGGGTTCTTCACACCAATTTAAGATGAGTACAGAGGCACCACTGTACTGTGTTGAAGAAGTGTCTAAGTTCTTTTCCATACATGCACACATCCACAAAAACTCGAGAGCTTATATATCTCTCTGACATTTAAAAGCAAATATTCGAATGTAACCTTTTCACTATAAAATTCCCAGTCTCTCTTGGCCTAATTACCTGAGTAAACTATCTGAATGAACTTTTGTTCTCACCTTTGAAATCATATTATATTGGCAACAGGATGAAAGATGACTTACCGGCCCAAAAGAATTGCTGTCAAAACTGTGTCCATGATGATCACCTTCAACCCAGATGTGGCCACGGGGAACTTTGACATACCGGTTTTTGTGTCCCATGGTTCTAGGAACAAACAAGGCAGACACTGAGATAAGAACAGAAAGAAAATTCCACAGCTCAGCATATAAACTTAGGAAGGACAGAAATGATACAAAGATGCAATAGATTTGAGTCTTTTGTGGGAAGGTGGATGCACCTTGAGACCATAATGCTAAGTGAAATGAACCAGATCACAAACTCAAGTGTCACATGGTTTCTCTTATATAAGAAATATAAATAAAGAACAAAATAAAAGACTGATCATAGGAAACAGGGAGATAGATCATTTTCAAGTGGAAAGGGGACCAAGAAATGAAGGGACCGAGGAGGGAGGGCAGGGAATGAAAATACAATTAGGATCTCCAAGGACTAACTTCTCACTAGAAATGTAATTATTATGTACTGCAAACATGTACTAGTAACAACAAAAATGACAAAAGCAATGCAATAGAGAGGTGAACTATGTAACTGGTCAATAACTTCATTTTTAAGTAGAATATAGTTAGGTTACTGTAAATCTATTCACATTTGTTTGATTTCTAGAAGTAGGAATTTTGTGTTTAAATAGAATTCACAAGCACCAAATATAATGTTTTGCTAATTAACTCAATATCTAAATATGTACTTATGAAACTCAATAAATGCTAACAAAATACAGATATATTTGTTTTCTAACATTTGCTTCTGTGTAAATAAATATTTTTTCCAACTCACTCATGGACAGCTGCAATCTTAATTTTTTTCAGTTAAACTTCTCAAACAGACAAGACTTTATAACCTCTTACTCTAAAATTCAGCAATAATAAGAAGAAAAGGAAGGAAAATATCTAGACAATGTCTTGTCAGAAAGTATCATTTGAAAATTTTTGATCACTACTAAAGTAATTTTAAAAACAAAAAACATTTTAGCAATTTTGAAATTATTTAAAGATCAGTGATAGATGATACATACTTAGCAGAATATTCTATATTCTCAATTCTGGCAAGGAAAAGAAATAAGGATAGGTTCTCTCACACAGTGTCTATGGCAACATAAAATGATACAACCTTTTAATCTATATTTCTAATTTGGATCAATTTTGGCAAGTTTTAAGAGACTAAAATGTTCATGGCTTTTGAACTAATTATTCCACTTATAGAAGTCCACTCTAAAGAAATAATCAGAAATATGGACAAACATTTATTATCAGAAATGTTCAATCTGGGATTTTGATAGCCCTCCCCTCCCCCAAAATCAGTTCATCTAATTGTCCAACAATACAGGGTTGATTAAATAAATTCTGATGTGACCAATTAAAAAAAGAGACTGAACTAAAATAAAATACTATTTCAATCTTAGAATAATAATTTCTTTTTGGAGCATAGATTGCTTTATTTTTTTTTCCTCCCTTGAGCATTCTTCAATGCCTATCCTAAAGAAGATTCTTAATACATATTTGCTGAAAGAATGAATGAATCAATATCACTCCCATGCTAATGAGTTTAGAAACCATGCATGGCCCTATATTCTTTGCTGTGGAATCCCTGTAAGATCAATTTTGTTAGCAAGTTGTATATATAAAGAAGAATATATAAAAAAGGGAAAACTACACCTAAATTGAAACTATTCATTATCTGGATGGATTTTAATTTCCAAGATAATTTTAGTGTTGAATGACTTTGCTTTAGATCAGTAAGTCATTCATGCAAGTAAGCAAAGTTGTGGCCATTAGAACCCCAATAGTACGTTAATGACTGCTATTTATTTTTAATTACTACTGAGAAGAAAGTTTTCAGCTTTTCAGAGAAAAGCGAAAACAAGTTGAACGCATTTTACTATCTTAGACTTTGTAATATAAGCATTCTATGAAAACCAATTAGTTCTTGACATCACTACCGCTTTTATCATGAAATTGTCTCTAAGAACTAATATTCCACATCAAGTGTTAATGACAAAGAGAAGACCCTTTTACTTAATTGTTAGAAATGCATAATCCCCAAGTAAATCCAAGTGTTTGTTCACCTTTTTAAGCTGATATTTGGACAGCTACTTGGAAAGAAAACAATTTCTAATTCTGTCTCTTCAAATAACCATTCAAGAATCATAGGTATGTATATGTAGGAAAAACAGACATAAGAGTTTGTTACTATTACAGATTTCACACATTCACAGGAGGGGGTATCTTAGAATATAAAGTATTCCTCATGGATAATTGGGAACAATAGTGTGTGTGTGTGTGTGTGTGTGTTTTACATATGCATATGTTCACAGTGTTTAGGGCTGTCTCACCAGATCAAACAAATGTGGATTTCCATGGATGACACGGGCTTCTAACTGATGTTTGCATTCAGAGTGCTGGATTGGGTGGGTGTCAAGAAACCCAAGACCCTGAACCTCACTTGCCTCTTCCTTCTTGAGCCTTTCAAGTTAATTTAATATGAATTTCTTTGTTAGGAAAGATGTCAGCCAAGGAACCAGAATTGTCTCTCACCTCTCACAGCAACTTCAAATTTTCAGTAGTTACCACCTAGATTGCTAGATGAAGAATTGTGAGAACACCAAAGAAGTTTTGTGCACGAGAATTCTGACTGATTGTTCGTGTCTGCCCTGAGCCCAGAAATAGCAAGGGATCATATTCCTCAGCAAAATCAGATAACTAATAATCATAACAGAAATAGCAATGATGATAATTACTATAAAACATCCCTCATCAGGAATATCAGTTATGGAAGTGAAGGTGCTTTGTGAACTGAACAGATAGACTACATTCTTTGATTATGAGAGAAAATGTTTTCTAAAGTTACAAAGTAAACCCAACACAAAATCATTTCTACAATGAAATGGTAGAGTTTAAGTCAAACTTAGCCTTCTAGAAACCAGAGAATAACATAAAATCCAAACTGAGTTTCAATGTGTTAATAAACCAAGGAGTCAAGACGCTTGTGAAAGAAAATGACAGCATCGTAAAAGTACCAGTGACAGTTGTACATTTCCTCGTATTGACCATCTTAAGTAAAATATTTCAATAGAACCTTTATCCCATTATTTTCTAGCCACTTACGTTGCTTTACTTTTCTGTATTGCACTTGATGTGTGTTCATGGGTTTGCTTATTCTCTGTCTCCCCCTACTAGAATGGAACCTTCAGAACTTTGCTTTCCTTATTCGGTTCAATAGAGTATGCCAAGCCCAGAAGAATACACCGCACAAAATGCTCCAAAAATATTTGTTAAACGAATGAGTAAATGAATGAATAACTAAAGAGTAAAACTTTCTGCAAAATTCTATGGAAAGTACATAGATTTTAGAAACACACAAAACCAGTTTTATTATTTATACTATTACTCACGTAATCTTGTGCATGTCATTGGCATTTGGCCCAGCTTTAAATGGAAAGAAGACAAACTAACTGGGTTGAGAAGGTCAGTAGTCAGATGAACGTCTTTGGATGGGAAATTATCCTATGTTGGCTTTTATATCGGAATTAACACTTTCAAGCATATGTGATCTTGGGAAACGTGATAGCTCTAAGTGTCAATTTCCTCATTATAAAACTAGGTAATTCAGAGTACCTAACTCAAAAATTCATTCAATAGATAAAAGTAGCATATATTAACCACCTGATAAATGGACTTTTTATAGTTGAGAATGGTTCTAAGTAAAGCTCTGAATACAGTTCTTATATATAGTCAGAACCCAATAGGTAGTGGTTATTATTCTATTGTCTTCCTTTGTCCATTATTTTCTTTCATTTTATGATTCAGAATGTGTTCAGATTCATATCTATTAGCATCAGTCTCTTTAAAATCACTTGAACTACGCTTCAATAGTTTCCTTTCCCCACAGTTGTGCTATGGCTATAGACTATTTTTAATGATACAAAGAATCTTTTTTCTTTTACTCTGATTCCCTCCTAAGACACTCTAACATTTATATATAAAAACACTATCTATTTGTGCATATTCAAATATGCAGAGAGTAGTAGGTGGAAACACAATCTATTTGTGATTTCTCCTACTAGTACTTTTCATATTTGAATGTTGCCATGCTACTACACAATGGTTTAGCTCAATACTAGACAGGTGTGAAAGAATTCTTTGCACCAAAGAACTTTGGTAAAATTGATGCCATTTGCATAACACATTTTCTATTTCTTAGGTTTCAATCTAACTTTATAAGGAGTAACCCAAAGTAGCTTTAAAAAATGTTAAACTATTGGGCTAGTTCCTTTTAGGGCTGCCAACGAAATATAATGCTCTTAATAGAATTTCTCAACAGAAGGAATTTTAAATAGCTTTGTTCTCCTAAATTCACATAAAAGAAAGACAAGATAATCCTTCAGGTGATTTAACAGTTAAGTGGAGTGTCAGCCTACAAGGTTGTATGTATCTATGGCTTGAAAATAATTTCAGTTTTGGCAGTCAAAAAATAAGTTCTGTATGGTATTCTAACTACCTGTTTTTTAAAAAGGTACTAGTTTTATCAAGACAAGTCACATAGGTCTTATAAATGGAATGAAGGGCAATTGCCTCCAAATTGATTTGACCTTGAAAACAATAATTTTAAATTTGTGAGTCTTTCATGTGTCATCAGTTGAATACAAAAATACTGTCCACGTAGTTCCTGGGAACACAAGAAGAAAATAAAATGTTATTAAAAGCATTTCACACACACTGTTAATTTAGGTAGCTTGTATTAATAATATTCATGATTGATTAGGTATTCATATTTATTTTTCAAACCATTCTATTGATTTTTCTTGCTAGCCAAAGCAGTGGCTTCCCTGAAGATGTTTACGGTTCCTTGCACTTTAGACCCCTAGGTTTTCATTTTCTTGAAGGCACCAGGAGTCAAAAGCTCAGGGCATAGTGAGATCAGGAGTTGGAACAAGGTCTCTTCATTATGATAGGGATAGTATGAGAAAAAAAATCTACTATCAGGAAAGGAAATGAAACACTTGCCTATCCAGGGTTGGACTGTGAATGAGAAAATAATTTTTTCTTAAGAATCCACACTCTGTTTTCAAGTGAGTTTGGGGTTCAAAT